CACTCAGCAAAAGTCTCAAAGTCACGTTGGAGCCAACGCGCGGGCGGTAGCGGTTGTATTTTAGTAAAACAAACTTTTGTACAGCAATGTGACTGATAATGATGGGAAAAAGAAGATGATACTGAGCATGAAAAAGAGCAGTTTACAAGTGCTACAACACGGCCTCAAGCAGTGGATGCCAGAGCGAACTAATACAGAGCTTCAGAAATATTATGTGATGCCTTGCCTTACAGTGCTGACTAGTAACAAAGTCCGATATCCCATAATCCTGAGGGTTTGCTTAGACCTTTGGATCATTTGGAAAAAAAGGTTGGTGGCCGCAGCCAAACTGTGACCAAGCCTGAATATACTGATGCCATTTGGAGGTCAAAGGCAAACCTTCGTAATCAGAAAACCATGTATAATAGTTGTACGAGGAATATTCCGGCTTCCTGAGAATAGTGAACTCCACTTTACACACCATTGCATGTATACTTAATTGTTGAAAAACGCGAACACCATGACTTTAAAGTGCACCGCCAATCAGAACGACTGCATATATCAGGCCCGTTTCAAACTAGGCTAATTCGTTACCCAGTTTAATTCATCAACACTTAATGATATGATCAACCAAAGCCGCACCAATAAATAGCCTATGGCACACAGCCTCTACTTATGAAGGAACAATCCTCTAAATATTAGGACCGATAAATGCCAGTGATATAAAAATGAGTAAATTAGCTTCTGAAATGTTATTTAATCAAAACACATGAGACTACGTTTAGATCGATAAATCAGGTCTTTTATTTAATATGATAAATCGCAAACAAAACTTCACAGAACCAAAGGTGGGCCACATAGTTGGACCTCTAGATAACACATCTGGAAGCGAGATATGTTAGCGAGATATCTTGCGCCACTAAAGCATGAAGAATATGGAAATGTCTACCTACAGGGTCCCTAGGTAGCTTCAGCTTAGTTCGTCTTCGTAAAACATCAATAGATTTGGCACCTTTGAAATGACTTCATTAGTCTTTCGTCTAAACCATGCATCAGGGTAGAATTCCAGGCATTTTTGTAGACGAGCAATCCTAAGTGAGGCAGCCAAACTGGTTAGATGTGGATCCGTGGTTAATATCGTTTTGGGAGAGCATTGCATACCTCATGAAGTACCACTTCGTAGCGTAAATTTGTTGTTGCGCATATAAAGGAGAGCATACATGTTGCTTTGACGGGGCGCATCAAATTTCTGGGTCGACAGAAAGGTAAGAGTATGTTTGAATAGAAACTATGAAGAGGAGCAAGTAGCTGTGGCAAGAAAAGTAGAGCAGATACGCCATAATGAATAAGTAACCGCAATTTCGGACATAGACCAAGGGCAACCAATGCATGACAGAAATGGTCTACTGAAGAGTGCTACTCCATATGTGGTCCGTTCCGCGGAAGACATTTACTTCTAATAATTCTTGACGCATAGAAGATGTCATCACTCAGTACACTCTATTATTATTACTGAAGACAATCACAGCGTTGGTACAGACACAGCTTCCATAACTATTTATTTTATCTCAACCAATATACGCAAAATTATTAGGCTGCAAACACTTAGTCTGTCCACACAAACTAGAGAAGCTATGGGTCCTTGAAAGTTTACAGTACTCCCAGGTGACACTTCACTAGCAAATTAAAAGAAGTGTGAAAGTAGTTGCAGAGACATCGGAAGTTAATGGTTCCATATTTGTCACGTGTTTTGTCCATTTTTAATTTTCGCGAGTATCCTTAGTTTCTCCAACGTATCATAAGGGCAAGTGTTTCTGTCCTGGTGTGAGATGAGCAAAACCATGAAAATTCCAGTAGATTTACTGGGTTCTATAACGTTCATATTCTATCCTCTGAAGAGACAACGTTACCCCGATCCTAAAAGTTTGCCACTAGAGTGGTGAACAGGCAGTTAAATCTTACGAATAACATCAAGGTATATTAGCGAGTTGCGTCACACCGTCCTTCATTACGGACCACATTTTTTAGTAATCGAGAAGCATCAATGCCATTTGTTTAGCATTGGTGAGCCATGGTGATCACGATATAATTTTGTTTCCAGTGGTTACGTCCAAGGCGCATTTATTATACTGCTTTATGCGCTGGGAGAATGAGCCTTTCACGGGAGCAGGTAGCTTCGTGGCCTGTCTGTTGATAGAACGGACAATAGGTTTTGTATAATACGATGAATTAGGTGCACCGCGAACTGTGAGTTCGAGGGTTACAGGACTAAGTTTTTTGTAAAATATCACCAGAAGTTATTGCAGGTCCCTTCACAAGGTGTAGGCCTAATTGTGTGGCTAGCAGTCATATTATTCGGCGAGGTCTTTAGGCGATCATAACATGAAGGACAAAATGTTTTCATCCTTCGAATGCGAAATTCTGACTGTCGACTTCATTCTCACATTCTTCATGAGGTGTTGCGTTGGCATAGATTTGTCAGTAATTATGAGTATAGGGGTTACCATATAATAAGAAATATTGAGGTTGCGTACATTTTATTTGCTATTTATAAACAGCGCGTCTTTTGCATCTCACCTAGTGGACATAAAATGTAGCATTCGTTTCTCCAGTCTCTTCCAAAGCTTCAGGATGTAATGGGCTCTATTTTAATGAAGTATGATTCCGGCAACTTCTTCATCGTTGTGTTTTGGCATTAAAGCGTAACTCTACTCTCAAACTCGTTATCAGCCAGACTGTTTCCTTAACGAAGCTGTGAATCACTTATTCTGGTAATCTAGATAAATACCGACTAATGGACAGTCTATGATAGCCAAATCCGGTACAGAATACTGACTGCGAGTTCCATTGACAAGCATGGGTCCAAGGTCCTCTTTGAATCGCCATGGTGTAAAATTTGGACAACGTGTCGTCTTTGGCGTGTCATAGAATTTACCTTCAATACTTCACAGAAACTAATGTTACGCGATTATAACTCGATGGGCGATCAAAGAACATATCGAATTTGGGCAAGATAATGAGCGAAAGTCCTACAAATACCTACAAAATATGCTCAAAAATGTAAATTTTCTAAAATTGTTGGTCACTTACGTCCGTTTACCACCAAGTAAGTGAGAATTTTGTTTCAAATTCGGTTCAACAGAGACAAGTGTGTATAAATTATAAACACTCAATATTTTTATCAGAATATTGAACACGTAACTCAGGAGTTTATTCGACTATCACAAAAATTAATTATTTGGTCTCAATTTCCGAAATCTACCTTCCCTGAATAAAATATCACCCTGATCAGGGACCACTGTTTACGTGTTTGGTTTTGCCACCAATCTGCGGATAGCCCACACTTCCGACTAAACTGTTGGCGTTGATACACGCACGCGTACGTGCGTAATTTTGCTCATAGACATGTGGTCAAGTATATACAGGAAAAAAAGCAAAGACACTTTGCTGTTGGACTTTGAGTAAAACAAGAACTGGTGCTGTGCTAGATATGATATAAGGATGCCACGTCTGTTAAATGGACAGCGACAAGTTTGGTTGATTTGTGAATACTTGCTAAAACGGCTGCTACGTTCCGCCCATGTAATAATCTCTTCTGTCTGTCATCTGTGAATGAACATATGGCTACCATAATGACCGTACTGTTTCACACCATTTTTGTCTAAAATGAGGAACTGCCACCCTATGAAACAATAAACGACAATGTCCTAGAATCTTTACCGTTCCTAGTAAAGTATGCATGAAAATTATATAAACAATGCGTATGATATTACGGGCCTGGACTATAACGAGTGGCCTAACTTTCGTAGAGATGACTCCTAAACAAGACCAAAAACGGGACTACGGCATTTGGGAAGCCATAACGGGCGTAGACTAAACGCCTGAAGACAAAGAACAATGAATGTGAGCTAGCTGGACCGTGGGTCGACAGTGAGCGCTACATCAGAGGATAATATGTATTCTCTTAAAAGTCTTCAATTCTTAAAAAAGTCTTAAAATCGTAGTAGGATGCAAATTGACAGATGGCGTGCGTACGAAAAGCGCCAATACATCTCCCAAAATCCAGGCGTATGCAGCTTAACTTGGCACCTTCCTAGAGCGCCGTACTAGCACATATAGTAATAATACTAGCAATTCTTAACTGGCTGTTCAGTTGGCTATGCTGCAGTCATCAAAAGCACCGCACTGCCAAATTGATTATCTTAGTTTCAACTACTTCCTAATGCCCGTAGTAGTTTGGTTGGAAAGAGTTGCTCATAACCACTTTGCTTCATCAGATTGTTTGGAAGGGTAGAAAGCTACTGTTTTGAGAAAGGCAAACTGAGACAGCCAAAGACTGTTCGAGAGAAACTACCCAAATAGTCTGATTTGGAGGAAAAACTGCAAACGATTACCTTACATCTCCACATGAGGTCCCCATCAAAACCGTATTTATTATGCCAAAAATAGCCACAGTATTGAAAGATGAGATCAAAAAACTTTTGTTACCACCATTTTGTATTGTCTGTATCTTTATGGGTTAACTTCGAATTTAGCGTGTAGTATGCTAGATGGCCGTTACGGATGCCGCAATAATATTCTTTCTTACAGGAATGTCGTAGAAATAGTTTATTTAAGCAATAAAAAATAAGCCGCTTTTGAACTCTCATGGTAATAAAAATTGGCTTCATTTCCAGAATTCCTACAAACCGTCCTGATGCAAGTTACGTTTGGGTTTTTTATTTCTTGTTCGGTTAAAATTTCAAAAAAAAAACTTGAGGTATACTGTTCTTGATTATTCGCTCACTGAATAGCAGTGTACGGTCTATTTTTCAAGCGTCTTCATTTGAGTTCGTCAGATGCGGAGCAGAAAAAAGCTGCAGTAACCATCCAAACTGAATATCGCCGACATCACGCACAACTTCAAACGGAGGAAGTACGCAAAGAGGTAGCAGCTGTACAAATTCAATCCTGTTATCGCGGCTATCGCACAAGAAAAGCTTTGAAAATTGGGTAAGTTATGGTAGCACCGAGATTCAATTCCAGCATTAATGATGGCTGCTTAACCAGAACTTCGTGGTCGTTTTTTACCATTCAGTAACTCGCAGACCACTTCCTCACTGTCATCAGATTGGAGGTTTCATCTGGGTAGCAGCCGCTTATGGGTAAAATTCCAAATGATGAATTTCAATCAATAAATTAATAAACCAATATATATATATATATATAACGCTATCATACCGTCGGTTATGGTGTAATCCGAAATTGGGGAAAACATATTTCCGGATCAACTGTTTGTTGCTTTCCCAAAAAGACGCTTGATAATTAGAATATGGTGCTTCCTGGGCTAGAGTATTGAACAAAAGCCTAGGAATATGTTGAGGAAATCCATAACTCATGGTAAACTCGAAGATAACCAACAAGTCACCGTTTGTGCATTCTGCGTTCATCTTATAGCCAGTTAACATTTAACTTTGTATCATTTTGATGCTAAAAGGTTGGGAAACTGCAAATCACAATCTGTTATCAGCCACATAGTAACCACAAACTTCATGCGTGAAACTTTTTTGAGGACTGTACTTTGGGTACGGGAACAGAACAATGATGCCCGGAATTTTCTTAGGCTGTTTTACTTGTCGAACTGATAAAGTCAAAGTAGCTAGCGTCTGGTCAGTGCGTCACATCGTTGAACATTTGCGTACGAAATCTCAAAATCGGTTACTCGAACCTTCTTATTGTATGCGGATGGTCAGGCATGTTTTAGACCTGACATGTGCATTGTTGTGACGCTAGTCCAATACCACTGTTCGGCACAATCAGCTTAGCCACACCGATCGCGCAGGGTGTGCGCCTCGGTATACTCTGGATTCGCTTGATGGTAACTTCGACAGGGAGAGGTATGATGAACAGCTTGCATGAGACTAAGCACAGATGAGGCCATTTTCCACCTATCTGTCCAGAGTGCCTAGCTGCCATGCCACCCGAAGAAAGCACGAGGGCTATGATACTGCCAGGTCGCCCAAGCCTAGACAGGAGAAGTCGAGAGGCCTAGGTCGAGCTCGAACCACGGACCTTCCGGCCTGTAAATTCGCGCTCTAACCACTGAACCATCTCGCCCCCCCCCACATTCACCGTGACAGGTTTGAACATTTCCCAGTCACAAGTGGACAACCTGATGGAACAAATTACTTTACGTGCAGAAGATGCTAGTGGATTTTACCTCCATGAATGTCTAGATACGTGATATTTCTGAATATCAACATTAGTGGGCTTATCGTAACAAGGCGTGTGTTTTAGCACTTGTTCTGCGAATAGTGAGCTGCGAATAGTGGCGGCTGCTGGCTTTATAAAATGGTCACATCTTGACCACCAAAAACTTGATCGTCTATCAATTTTGTCTTCCTTCTGGTGGTAAAACGCTAGAGAAATACTGAGTGGATGAAAATTTTTGAGGTGTTTTTAGGTGCCACTTGTTCTGATCTATTCGGCAGGTAACTTTCATTTCACTAAAACTGAACAGAACGATATTCCTCATCTGCCAAAAGTTTTGTGTCGATGGCACGACGTTCGAAACCACATCTCTCAACATTGTGGAAACGAATTTTATTTTCACTCTAACGAAAATGAGGTGATTTTCTTCGGGTTTCTTCCCGTAACTATGAGACATCCCATTCGTGCTTGTTTATTTGTTTTGCACTTAGAGATTCTGGACAGCAAACGTGGGCCGACGCAGGCGAATATCCAGTAAGTGATGATATCCACCCATCCTGTTCCACTTACAAAATCCCATTTACACGGATTAAGATTCTAGAACAACTTTCGGCAGCGTCTTGTTGAATTTAAATAAATTGCTTGTCAGGCGCTCCAGATTGTCCCTGCCGAGAGGTGTTATATTGTGTTTCTTTTGAATGACGCACAGCGAAAATTCGCAGCTTCCGTTTTTTTTCGAGAAGATTAACGAAAATCTTTTAGTTGGAGAATCCATCATTCGGGTAGTATTTTTAGGTTTGCACACGAAGCATAGTTCGTGTTGAAACGATAGCTCATTCTCATCTTACGTATTTCTACAGATATGTTATTCTCTTTTATGCTGTGTCATAAATCAGATAGAAACTTTCCACACAGTGTATGTCATCGCTGACTGGTAGAACATCTCGTGTAAACTCTACAACTATGGATGTGAGATTCCATGTGTAATCCCTTGTGTTTTTTGGAAAACGAAGATTCCTAGAAGATTGCTTGTCAGTTTTAGCTATTAGTGCACAGGTTATAAGTGGTTGTATTATGAATCAGGAGGTGTGTGCACTAATAACAATTTTTACTATGGTAGACATTAGTAGTTTACGGTTACTAGGTGTATCATGTATAATATAAATACAACGTTGCAAGTGGAACAATTCAACAGGTGATTTATTGTTTTGCGGATAAGTGGTGAGCTTCTCTGTGTGAAGGTCCGGACGCGGGACGTGTTTCCTCTGCATTAGAGCTGCTTGTGAAGTTCGGTTGACTTCCTGTTCTGTTTGTATGTGTGTTTTGGGCCCAGGTGTATGCCTACTTATTGCATGCACTGTGATGAGAGGGGGGTCCATTCTTGTTTGACAGTTGTGCAAACGTTAAAACAACCTGACCCGATGCGACTGAAGGTCGAAAGCATGCCACGTGACGCAGGTAACAGCATGAGCAAAATGGATGGGAAATTCCAGTGTACATGCTGTCAGTCAAGGTTGCAAGTGGGACACCTTAGTGTCACCTCATTTGTGTGTTCGTGGTGCGTGTTCTTGTAAGTGACCGCTACACAGGCACTTTAGACTGAATAGCCTGAGTGAAAGGATAAAACAAACTAAAAGGAAAAAAATATTTTAGATACATTCGGGCGCTCGCGCACAATATATACGCTGTTGCAGTCTATAAGGAACCATGCTTTACGCAAATGCTAATCTGTGTATAGAAATTCCTTTAAAAAACGTGTTCTGTTGAAGTTATTGATGTTACTAAGCTACCCTATAAGTGACAGAAGCTAACTCACGGTGCCTTCACTACTCTCCTTCACTGTTTTCGTACAGTTCTTCTGTGCATTTGCGATAACCGGCCTCCGAATAGTTACCATCTCGGGCATTGTACTTCAGGAGCCTGAGATGGCCCAGGGGTTGAGGTGCGAACTTATTGGCAGGAAGCTCTGTGGTTTGAACCCAACGCCTGCAGCTCGGCTGCACTTGTCTAGACTTGGGCATGGGAGTTACGCAGGGGAAGGATATTGCAGCTGAAGAATTATTTTTACTGTATTCTGGGTCTTTTCATCAGTGTATATAGGTCATAAGGCTTGTCGCAAGATTTTCATGTGAACGGGCTTGGGGATGCAGCTCGACCTGAAAACACTTTCGAAAAAGCCTTTAGAAGTAATATAAAGGATACACCTGCGTGATTTTATGCCTTAAAACATTTTCCTAACCACAGATGATGAGCGTTAGTATGAGGAAATCTCCGATTGGTGCGTTAGACTATTGGTTATCGTTTGTCACTCAACCTAAGCTGTGTGCTAAAACTTGATCTGTTCGCCCGGCATTTTACAAAGCTTATTCGATCGCCGTGGGTGCCAAACACCTCAATCAACAAGATATTGCGTGAATAGGTGCTTGTGAACCCCAAAATAACAGTATCAGTTTATCTGACCTCTCGATGGAGGAAACTCTCTTGTTAAGCTTCACATATTTTCGGAGAAAAGTAGACCAAAAAAGAATGACCAAAACTATTCTGGAAAGACACTTTTCTCATACGAGCGCTTTTACTCTGGCAGCGTAGTAATCGTGTTTTCTGTGAGTCTTAATACACCCCACACTGATGTAACCAAGTTCCTGCAGTATACTATGAATTGTTCGTAAGCCTGACCAATCCCTTCTTGTTTTAGTCTGCTCCGTCCCCTCAGGTCTCTGTCAAAATCTAGAGCTAATATTTTGAGTCTGTGAAATTCATGTCTTATGTAAAATTCTGTCTTCGTTTTCTTGCCATGGTAATAGTTTTGCCTACACATGGTATCCTTGTTGCACATACTAAGAGGCTTTTTTCCATCTAGACAGATTTGTGGACTAATGTCAACATAATCCACGTCTTACTTTTGTAGGACAATGGATGACGGAATCCGGTGATCCATCCAATGCTTGTTTTTATGGTCAAGTAGGCGTGACCGTCGACAAACGTCGTTTCGTTTTTTTCGCTTTAAAGCTGCAGCCCGTGTGATATCAAAAATACGGGTTATTTGACTATTTCTTGGTCATTTTTTGGCTGTCTTCTCTAGTGTGCTTCGAGCTCTTGGCCATATTTAGAACCAATATTCGTGTTTCCTTGCCAAGAAACCACGCCCATTCATTTGAGCAACTCCATTTTGTTAGGAAGACGGGAAGTAAAGGGTGAAGTGACCCAATTCAGTTTGTCACAGATATTCAACCGGAAGCAGAGAAGCCTATGTATGACTGTTCGATTCAGTTAATAGACGGATAGGAGCCTGAGAGCGTTCGAGCAACATGCACGCATGGGACTTGGGATACTTGACATCCGGGCTGCCGAAGATACAACATGCCATTGAAGTTCACTCGGCACAGCTTAGCGATAGAAGCAAACAAGGTTACGGGTTTGGTCCGCAGTATTTATCGGGGGATAGGGCCTTCATAATTGACAGTATTGGCCCAACGTCCATGTATGTAACTTCAAATGAAGAAGTTTAAGTGGCGTGACCTACAGGTGAGCAGTGGGTTAAAACGACAGTCTGATTCTTATGTTTGGTATGATTATGTTTCACACCCCGTAATATGAAACTCTGTGTCGATTAGTGTGGCGAAACCGCACTAAACTGACCAACGAACGATTTAGTCACATGGTGCTTTCAGTCTTCGTGGCAAAAGGTTTGTGCCAATGACACATCCTTTGCGTGTTTCTTGGGAATTCTGTGCACGTCTAGACAACACGCTGGATGATAGGAAAACTTTTTTAAGGAATTCTGTTACTTCTATTTTTCCCCCTTTAAACAGCCGAAAAGTAATAGCTTTTTATCAGTGATCTGTCATAATGATGTCGTAAATCGGGGTCTGTTGTATATTCCTGCATCCGTCATCCGATCATGCTTCGATCACGTTTTCCGAGAAATTTCTGAAACTAAAGGCTGGTTTGTACTGTCGCATTAGTTATGGCACTTCAATGTATCTCACCGTATAATTTTATCCACAAGTGCACCTTCGCAACGTTTTTAAATGTGACGCTAAAAGTCGAGCCTGAATCCCATGGTTCTTGTAAATCAGTAAACCCCACGAGACTTGGTGGCGATTGCTGGCCTCTGTCGAAGAATGAATCCTGGAAAACCTCGGAAGGAGAAACATTCTGAACCCTCCAGATAAGTAACGTACTGAGGTCTACGAAACATCCCGACTCACGGACATCATTTGTACCATTAAGTTGGGTTCCGTTTTCGAATCGAGATGGCTCAGTACATAAGGCGCGAACTTTCTAACCGGTTGGTCCGTGGTTCGAACCCAATTTCTGCATCTCGACCGCTTTTACCTAGGCTTGGACAACCTGCCAGTATCTCAGCCCTCCTACTTCTTTCAGGTGGAATGACAGCTGTTGCAACTGAACGATTATTTTTTATCGTCTTAAATCACCTATCTACCAATCAGAGCTGCTACATCGGCTGTCTCTCATTTGGACTGGATTTGACGGACAGTTTAGCCAATAATGTCAGATCGCTTCTTGGAACACAATGCCCTTCAAGAAATAGGATGAATTAACTTTGAGGCTCATTTGATTATATCCGAAGTTCAATTAAGCCGATGCATAAAACATAACCGTATGGGGAAACGGTTACTTACACCAGGTGTTATCGCCTTGAGGAATATTCTCCATATGTTTTGAGACCATTTGTTCTGCTGTAGAAGTTGGACAGTCGAACAGTTTCAGACGAGCATCTACGATGTGTCCGCAGGCAGTAGAATGAAACTATATTGAATCTAGCCATTTTTTCTCGACGGGGTTTGTAGGGTGGATTGAGAACGGCGGGAATAAGAAGTGTTACAAAAGTCCTGGGCATGTATTTCTTCCTGGGAATTATTTCGCCCAGACCCAAGGCCATGTATCCTACCAATACCAGAAAGCAGTTCAGGAAACTGTCAGACTGTCTCTGGGATCAAATACGGTTTCCACACTACGAAGCATCACCAGTTTAGTTGGGCGTCCATATTTTGTTCAGGTTTTTGAACATCACTGGAACGGTGCGTGTGCTTCAATTAACGTGAGTAACCGAAACAATGCACTTAGACCGTTTCATATTCAAGCAGTCTTTAAAATTTGGAGGTTTCTAATATGACTGCTTGAAGCATGAAGTGAGGACTCCGAAAGATATGGATCAATAGGGACTTCTGATTATTTTGCTGGGAATTCATCCTGCTGGAGCTCACAGATGATCTTCATTAGGCATGAGTTTGCAATATCAATTTCTATCCATTCGAGAACGCACTTGTTGAAGAATTCGTGCTCATATTCAGGGGTTATAAAACTTATGTGAAAATTTTAAAGTGCACCTGTAACAGCACCTAAACTTTTTCTATAGATTCAAGAAAGGGGAACGGAATGTTGAGCTATATTTTAGGCGGTACCTTTGGCGAGCAAACATTCCGGCCGTTTCCGCTAGTGTACTGGGGCTCTGGAGTTGGGGAAGATTCTCTCTTACGTTTGCATTCACATGATGTTGGAAAGCATCGGTCAGGACAGAATCACACTATTGAATGTTCTTTGGTACGTATTCTAATGCCACTTCTCTTGATGCCACATACTCCTGAAATGAAACATTGTCTCCTACCCGTGTGGTGGCTAAGGAGAGAGCAAAAACCGTCAAAATTGCCATTTATTAACACTTGTCTGCTCCAGTTTCTTGTGGCAAACCATAATCGGCTTTCTGGGTGTTATCAGGAACAGTCGAGGCGTCGCCATTCGCCTGTGTAGGAAAAAGTTTAAGCCTGTTGTTACGCTGATTGAGCATGATGTTTCCGCATGAAGTTTCTTACCCAGTGGCCGTTGACCGAAATCGGGCCACGTGACTAACTGTCCCCTTGGTTTGCCTGCAACGTTCTAAGGCAGTGATTGGATGGGGATTGTAAACCAATCGTGTCCTAACAAGCTAACACCAGTGGCCTTAAGTAACCTGTTTTTTCTATGGTCCTATCACTTTCGTTCGGTAAGTTTTACTTTATTGTGCAGGAACTTGAATTCAGATGTATTTAACGACTAATGCATCTACTAAATTTACATCGTCTCCTGGTTCGATAAAGGACAACTGGTCTACTGAAGTTCTCAACCAGCAACCAGTAGCTGAATGATGAAACCCTGGTCGTATATTATGCCACACAAGCGAAATTATTTCAATAAAAGACTCACGACGATAGAACCTTGCGTGAGAATATTGTTCGGAATGAAAAACACCCCAAAAATTTACTCCATTTCAAGCGAAATATACTACTGGTCCGAAAAATAGGAGCTGTGGCATTCTGGTGGAATAAATCCCGTTAGTGCTATTAAATATGCTCCTCGTCTTAGGCTGTTGGTAATCTCACGTTTGTAATGTAGCTATAACCAAGTATGCCGTTTACCAGGCAACTTACTTTTTTCAAGAGATTCCCGCATAATATAACTAAATGAAACCAATTTGCGCAAGTCCTAACAGGAGATCGCGGTTGTTTTGACCACTACCTTAGTTTTATTAGTGAAAATTCCACGTGATTTTGTCAAAATACATGGTCAAGGTGAGTGGAATGTCTATTTTGAAATTGCGTCTGGACGGCAGGGCAGGCAATGACAGTTTTACCGAAGAAGTTGCTGTGATATCGATCAAGCCAGTGTTATTTTGCTCCTTATTGTGACAATTGTGGGGACCTAGAGTAACAGTGTAGCATCGATCGCAATTGATTATTGCGGTCGCCCTACGCCTGGAAAAGACTGGCTGTCGCATGTGCCTTAAAGTCCAATCCCAAACATTGTTGGGATTTCTAACCTGCGCTTGTCATACGTATTCAGCGTGGTTTCGGTTTGTTTGGGGAACAGCTTTCACAAGGGTTTTATTTAGATTTGTTGCGACTGCCTTAGTCAGCAAGAACGATGGATACTGCCATCTTGGTGACTGAGCAGAGCGCCCATGTTGGACTACCAAGCCCGGAAGAGGCACTGTTGTCTGGTAAATTCGGAGTCGATGCTCGCTGTGTGCATTATAGGGAAGGACATCTTCAATTATTTATTGGTCCTTCTCTGTCTCTGGCTAGCAAAACTAATTGGAAGCTGATTAGAGGTTAATTGGGTCATACGACAGTCAGCTACTAATGGAGGGCCTCAACTTATGAGTGCTCTTCAATCCGGTGTATGCAACTTGGCTCCGATCAGGCTGTTTTGCGGGCTTGTTTATTAATCAGCTTTGTTTAAAAACTACGCACGTTGAACATGAGGGTTTCGTTGACCAGCCTTAACGAGTACCAGAGGTTCAGCAGTACTGAATTCGATCTTTCTAAAATTCCACAGGCACGTTGATGACCAAGATTCAGTTCATTTCAGTTTATCAGGTGTAGATGAGATATAGTTGAGCATAGGAGTAGTAACCTAACAAAGGAGCAATGCTAAACCATTCGTGCTGCTTGAAGAACCGGAGAACTATACAGCTGCTTGGTGAAGGCGATAGTTTTTGTGCATCGAAGTCACTGACTGCCTAGTCGAGTAAGTTCTAACAGAGTTATTAACAATTTATGAGTTCAGTCCCATCCGGGGAAATGTAAGTTTTCGAATCCATTGAACTCACTGATTACTGCTTTCATACTTCGTTACCAGATCACTGACTGCCCACCTGCTTTTTGCTTTTACTCAATAAAGACATGGACCAAAAGAGTTCCTCAAGGCATACGGTTCGCTGACATGCAATGTATTCGTTCTAACTACTGTAATCTACGGGACGTGAGCTGTTCATCCATTGCTGGAGGGTTCCTTCCTCCCAAAGCCATCTACTCTACCCAAGAATTGCTAAGCTGATGTTCGCACCAGCCCCGGTCAATAGTTCGGAGTCAGTGATGTTGAAACACCATGTTTCAATGCATCCTGCGTACGAGGAGGTCGAATGCTTGATCCATAAGTGGGGTAGAATAGACTGCTCTTTCCCCTGGACAAATGAACTGTCACGTCACCTCCACTGGTGTCGCAGGTTGATAAAATCTGTCCCAGTCTTCCCGATTCTACAACTAATCTATTTTCCATCCATTCCACAGGAACTTGTAAAAGTGCCCAGGTAAATGATTTCATCTGCTACGCCAACTGACCGGTCTGCAAGCATGAAGCTTGAGTGTGATCCCACTACGTTTTGCAGCAGCAGTCTGGAGCGCTAACTAAACCACGCAGCAAAATTATCAAAGCTTTTTAGAACGGATTACATTTCTAAACGGTATGAACTAAAGCGACCAATATCCTCTGAGTACCCAGTGTCTGAGCGAACATCACGTGGTAAACATTTTACGGGTTCATTTCGATTTGTTGCGTGAACGATTTTCAGTTCAGTTTCTCTTTCAGCTGTCCGCACCATGTTACATTGAGTCGTGGTGTTACATAGGGCTGACCTGCAATGTGTTTGATCAGTGCAAGCTTTATTCGTTGTCAGTTGTGCTGAACAAACAAGTACCTGTTCTTTATAACTACACTTACAAGGGTTAACTGTTTCACTAATTCATGTTTACAGCGTGAGTGCAAGAGAGCAGATAACTTCATTTCCGACGAAGAGGCCTCACCAGAGGCAAGTATACAGACACAGTCGGAAGATTATACTCTCGAAAAATCCTATCAAGACCAAAGTCCAGGAACCGAAAGAAGTGGTAAGTAAACAAAACAAAATATCCCCTCATATCATAGATTATATCCCTGCCTCACTAACTGAGGAACCGGAGGCAAATCTGACCCAAGTAAATACCACAGAAGAAGCATCGAAATCCCAGGTTTCTCCATTCACAGACCAAAAGAATTCCACAGGTAACCAAGCCTGAAATATTACTTCAAGTCATAGACCCTTCCAATTTTGCACAGACACAAGACGAAGCGTCTGAATCCAACGTTCAAATAGAATCGTGTCCAGAAGGCGACGAGACTTCCGCATCAGAACAAATCACGGAAGACTGTTAACAAAGTAAGTTTCCGAAAGTTCGCAGTTAACTAGATCAACCGAGTAAGGACTGTTTTAAAAGCAAATATTATTTTCCATCTAAAGCTAAACGCTGTATTGGGTTTTTCTTTTTCAATACTAGTCTAAAAAATCCTATTTTTTAGACGAATATAGCTAATTCGTTGCATCATAGTCTTCGTAATTTGATGGCACTAAAATTTTCTTCTTTTCATGGGTTTATTATTAGAATAGCATATATGTATTCAGAGTAAAGTAACAGTAACAAATGAGGTTCATTCTAATTGAAATTTCAATAAGGGTGTTCGCGTTTTCGAAAAATTTCGCGCTAGCACGCAGAGAAGTAACAAGTTTGCTCACTTTAAGTGAACGTGACCATTACCTTACGGTCCAAAATGATCCACTCGTGAGTATTACTGTGGACTGCATTAAAAATGACAAATGCAAAGGAGTGATGGTATCTTGAAAAACCTTACCGCGTGAGGCCTCTCCTTCCTCCGTTGAGCATGAAATGATCGGATGCATGTACCCTTGGTCGGCAGTTTCAGGCTATTAGCCATTTGGCCATGAGCCAGCCAACCGTTTTGGACAACTTTGTACCGATTATTAGAGGTGAAAATTAAAAATTCGGACTACTTTTCTGCGGAAGAATGAAATGTCCCTTTTTTATGGTCGAATACGCCGAGTTATTCGTGTTCCTTTTGACATGATGCTAAGAAAAACCCGGAAACATTATATTGTTACTGGGGGCAAAAATCGATGTTGGAATTTGTTTTGGACTACCAAGAAAAACGGTATGTCAGTGAAGAACACTCATAAACGCAAACTGAACACTGGATGGCTAATAGACACAGCTTCCAACAAACCAGGGTCCACAGACAGTGGCAGTGTATTGCGGAAGCAGAACCATCGTTTGCTGAAAAGACAGGTGGTTACACTTTAACCTGGAAGAAGGAAATTAAATCGATTAAGAAACGTCTAGGTACCGTCCGTGAGACTTGCCTTCCAGAAGAGAGTTCATGTGATTCAGCCTTCGCACATTTAGAGAAGCTGCAATATATGGCCGCTAATCGATACCAGTGGCACTCTTGTTGCCAGATACTATTCATATTGTAAGAACGAGTGTCTGGAGGTGTGGAATTCTCGAAGTGAGTGTGGTTGGCTAGCACCAATTCCGTTTCCCACCCATCTTTATTATTCTCTCTAAATAAATTATGGTTGTAAGGCAACAATCATTGGTTTTGAACACTGATGTTGTGTTGTTGACAACGATCTAGAGTTTATCCGGATTCCTGAGATCAATCAATACGGCTGCTTTCAGGATTTGTTGATTTCACTTTATTTCCTATCGGTCACAGTTGCATCATACATTTGTGTATCACTGTTATACAACTGCTCTAAAATACTTCACAATCCAGTGCCATGACACTAGATATTCTATCCCCATAATGAATCCACTAACCCCCAATGGAACGAGTTTTTAAGGCTAACTGTAATTCACAGTGATACCGCCTATCCTTTTCAGAAATGTCCTCAGAAGTTGACATCAATTTGGAAGATCCTGAAGTTGAAAAGGCTGCACTGAAAATTCAAGCCCACTACAAAGGCTTTAAAAGTTGTAAAAAACAGACTGCGTCGGACCCCGTGTGTTATTGCTCGTAAACATGCCCATTTTGTTGCCCCAGTTGTTGTCAACCTATTCCTTGTTGTGATAATGTATCACAGCACACAAAACCTGCGCCGTCTCATTCATATGCAATCGCAAAGATGTTTACCACAAGAGTGAAACGTGTCTGCTCTATCAAGTTAAATATGGTTCCATCCCGCGACGCAGTGTATGAGGATTTAGAGATAAAAGTGCGTAACCTATAGCGGGTGGGTTGACGATATATGGATTCCCGCTGTCTTTAACTCCGAGCGTTTGAGACTACCGTAGTCGTTTGCCAGGAGACGCTTGAGGTGCCACAAATTTCTTCTGGCTAATTGCACCTTATTAAGGGTGCAATTTCCTAAAAACTCATCAGATAGAGCAGCATTTAAAGCTTTGTTTTGTATTTTGCACAAACTTTTAGAGTAGGCACGGGTTTTTTCTGAGCACGGTGCTCCAATCTGAGCTGCGTACATCAGTCGCAAATGCGAAAAAGCAGCCAAACTAGTGAGTTTTACAATGAGGTATCGATTAAGGGAGGTTCATTTTTTTACCTGCAAACCGTGAGGAAATCGCAATATGTTGCAGTTCCCTCATGTGTTTCATTAGAGAGCAGTCTCCGTTGGTTATCACGAGCAGGCAGTCCTGATCTTTGGTTCGAAGAACCTGATCTTCAATGATCTGCTGAGAGGAATCTTGTGGATACCTGATATCAGATTGAAATTCGCTTCTTGCATAAAGTACAACCTCCCGTAATTGTGGTTTTAACTTACTTCTGGGTTACTCTGATAACAACAACCATGACCATATCTTCGAATGCAACGTCTGTCCTTCTAGTGACACCCTTTTTTCCGATCCAACAAGAAAAACATTCTCTGTCCTGTTAGTTGTTCGGTGCATTGCATTTAGCAGGCCAGTTTTGAAGAATACCACCTTTAGAGAGGCGACGTACCTCTTCAGAAACTCCGTGGGCAGAGAATGAGCTTTCCGTCTAACTTAGCACTGTACTTTAATTTCAAGTTTGGGATTGTTTTCTTCTCTGCTAACTGAAGTTCTGTAATTCTGATTGGGTAAAGATGAAGAACATCTACGATGCTCGGATATAACTCACTATTGAGATTGCAGTAGTCGAAATTACTTAGCACTGTACTTTAATTTCACGTTTATGATTGTTTTCTTCTGTGCTAACTGAAGTTCTGTAATCCTAATTGGGTAAAGAGGAAGAACATCTACGATGCTCGGATATAACTCACTATTGAGATTGCAGTAGTCGAAATTTGATTACGTCTTCCTGATTTCACGGGCCTGAATTGATCCATCAAACATCTGGAATCCTTTCTATAATCCTGGAATTTCCTTTTTTCCTTAGCCCTTACCAATTCATATGCGACTTCTAAAGCATCCGTGGTTGGTGCCGCTCTCAATGACTAGCTGCATTGTCTTCTCCATGAGTGTGCTGCATCAGAAGGGCATAGTATTCCTAGTCTCTGCCTTGTGAATGTCGACACTGATTGACCTTTCTTGTGTAGGCCTCTGTTTGGTTTACACTGGCACAGTAGTCAAGTTTCCTTGAAGTTAAATATAGCTTCATAAAGGTTGCTAAAAACTTTTCGACAGCCCATGACCGGTTTCGCCCTTCTTGGGGTTTATCAGGTAGGCGCAGTCCCCGAGTTTCCGTCAACTTCATGTTCTACTTGAACCCAAATTGGACTGTTTTCGAGAAAAACACTCATTTGCAAATCAGTTTGGTTTTCACGAGAGACAACCGAATCTCTTGTTTATGATATTCTACAACTGCGCCTACCTGATGAGCCCCAAGTAGGGCGAAACCGGTCGTGGGCTGTCGAAGAGTTTTCAGCAACCTTGTGAGTAGTTTCCTTTATGAAAATATACTCCGATTTCTCGAATATCGTGCCAACTGAATCATGAGGCGCCTGTGTGCAGCGCATTCAGTTGTAGAATGTCATAAGCGAAAGTTTCAGTTGAGTCTCTCGTGAAAAACAAACTGATTTGTAAATGAGTGTATTTCTTAAATATACCTTCTTACTTGTACCCTCTACACAGTTCCTGTACTGTATCCAGCCAGCCAAAAGCAGACAGTAGAATTGTTCCATCCTTCTGACTGGCGGAATATCTTCACTGCTCGACACACTAACTATTTTCCCAGAACTATGCTTTGTTGTCAGTGAATGATTTGTCTTGTGTGTGCTTTGTTGTACATTCTTCTCACCCTAATGGCTTCGTGAAACCGTCACCGGCTTGTTTTTATCACTCCAGAGTTCTGAAGCAAAAGTTCAGAAACCTGCTAGCTTGGAATCAAACGGTAGGTTTAAATGTCTTTAGTTCATCCATAGTTGCTCTTCCTAAGATTCCCGCATATCACATTTTACCAGAGCTGGTATAAACCTGGCTTCAATACGGATGATCAATGGGGATATACTGAAGAGATATGCATACATAAACTACACCGATGACATCGTCTATATTCTTCAGTTCACGCTGTGCCATGTATTCTATCCTTCCTTTGATCTTCTTTCCGTATGGAGTCGCTCCGTTCCGAAGCTGACTACACTTAAAAATCTAAATATCCGTAGATTTATTTTTTTAGTAAACACTTTCAGTGAACTTTTGATAGCGATTAACGGACAACCACTTGAACTGGTTCAAAAAATATTAAGCAGGGTTCCTCTGATTGACAACATCGTTGGTCGGCTTTGTAACCCGAGCTCGGAACAGTCCTACATTAATCATTTCAGAAATCAGTGGTACTCCTCTTCCGGAAGTCAACCACATTTCTGTCATCACCCCCAACCTCTTTGATCTGAGTCCCACACTGCTCAGTCCACCAAGCATATAAAGACCACGTGTATTATTACTCCAATTTTCTGACAGAGTTTGCCCAAATCTAACGATTATACACTGCACACCTAGCTGATTTACAGTAACTTGTCTTTGCAATTCCGGTGGGAGACGGGGATTCTGATTAAACATGGTTAAACAGCGAACCACTGACGGTTACGTTTGATGTGTCACCGGTGTGATTGACATAAAATTGATCAAGCATTGTCGTTCCTGTTTCATATCTACGTGTTTATTGATTGCAAAGGCAGTTAAATTGAACTAATACTATCAGGTGCAAAGAAAACAACACTACTGACGATGAGGAAGTTTTTAAGAACATCATGCTCACAAACCCCGAAATGAATACTACACTGTAGTATTCCAACAAGCTGTATAGGATGAGTGTTTTCTGTGACGTGACAATGCTAATAGATAAATACCACTCATTAGTTAAGAGCTCGAAATAGACGACGATGTTGAAAAATTTGTCAAATTAATGGGAAGCTGTAGAAGAACAAACAACGAAAAAATATGCCTTAGGTTTGAAACTTTGAGTCTAGGTTTGGGGCATCCAAGCACCAGATTGTACTTTCATCTGATTAGCCTTCAACCCTCGAAGAGGACTTGATATGACAAAGCCACGGACTCGAATCTTACCTGATGTTTTTCTTCGTAAAGACCCGAAGACATCTCTCATTCCTGCTCTCATCGGTACTAATTAGATGGATATAGAAAAATCGAATCCTTGGATGTGGGTACCAGGCTCTTATTATCTGTGTTTGCACCGTTTTTTCGCCGTACTCTCTAGTTTTATGAATGAGGCTACAGTCTACTTCCATATAAAATGTGTGTTCACTTTTTTGTTGTTGCAATGCAATGTGCATTTCAAGCTGTAATACTGTTCCATGATATCTTCAGCATCCACGAAACAGTCATGATCACATGTAAGTCCTGATTGTTATGGCACGTACTATTTCCATCTTGAAACGTAAAATGCTAATTAACTGATAAAGGGGTTCGTATGGTTGAAAAACGAGGGGGACTCCGTCCAGCTTTCTGCTCCTGGCCTGCATATATTCCACGATTATCAACGCGGCATCCATCTACGTCATCTCCCCATTGTGGTACTTCCTAGTAGTCGTGGTTTAATAACGTCAACAAATTGTTTTGTCTCCGTTTTCAAAGGGGGACCTTTGCAAGGACGCACTTTTCCATTGTACAACTTCTGGTTCTGAGCATTTGGCGCCAGATGCCTTACAAACCTTCGTTGTTTCATTGGATTTATGTATGAATGTATGAACAGTCTTTTATGCATGAACAGTGTGTATGCATGAACAGTCTTGAGGCTGTTGACTTTAAGGTATCCCGATGTACCGGTCTATTTTGCTAAGCTGCCATCAATTTGTTCAGCGTATTTGCACTCATTTGTTTAATCATACCCATCGTGAAAAGTTGCTTGACTCAGCTTGATCACATAGTACGGAACAATGATGTGGATGGTGAAGTAGTACTGGAAAGTGGGTATATTGAGATGCTGGGGAAGACTTCACACATACGTGAGAGGTCCCCCCAGAAACTAGCTGTAGTGTTTCACAAAGCATCGCTCACAGCTTCAACCAGTAAGCTTTAAGATAAAAAGATAATCACTTAACTGTAGCACCCTGGCTGCCATGCCACCCGAAGGAAACGCAAGGGCTGTGATACTGCCAGGTTGCCAGAACCTAGACAGGAGAAGTCGGGATTCAGAGGTCGGGTTCGAACCACGGATCTTCCAGTCAGTTAATTCACGCCCTAACCACTGAACTATCATACCATGGTGGACTTTAAACCGGTGCTCCCTCACACTACACTGCTACGCCTATCCACTTAACTACATTTCTCAATTCAGGAATGTGTGTAGAAAATAGCGCTTTGAAGCAGCGGTTACCGAACATTTGAATCTCACTCGTTTGATTTCACACGGTGAAAAACTCTCAGATAATGTCCTCATTTAAATCAACAAAATGACCATTGTAACTTAGAATTTCTATCATTTGTATGGGTGAATTAGAATTTGCAATTAATAGTGGAATGGAAATTTGGAAGTGCCTTCGATGACGCCGTAATGTCTACTCTTTGAAGAACAGTATCCCTGTTGGCTAACACACGTAAATCTCCCAGTGTTCTAAACAACTTTCTCCACTGCTAGTGAACCATGTGCAGTCTTCAAACTTTCAGGTCCTAAGAACCTTACTCGGATTCAAGATGAAGTTAATAAGATCTTCATTATACAACGTTGTGTTCTACAATCCAGAAACCATTAATTTCACCTTTTATTAGGGTCCACATCTGAATACCCGAGAGCTTGGACGACATGGCTCAATCATTATATGGATAAAAAACGTCTGATCACGTTTATTATAACTGATAGAATCAGCTGAATCCTGATTAATGTGCAATGTAATGTAGACGATTATGAAGACGATTGTTGCCAACTACTTGTAATTCTATCCTTTCACTATATCCCACCTTGCTCCGTTTGCGATTTTCGTGTGTTCAATTTTTATCTGCATAAATTCTGACTGCCACATTTTAACGACAATTTCATTTGTTTATTTCAGATCTTTTCGGTTCTGGCACACAGTTCCTCCCACAATCGATATTCTTTTGACTCCATTTTAAGCATACATGTCCGTCTCGTTTCCAAAGTCATTTATTATTTTGTGTACGTCTATTCACACTGAACTTCATCTGAAAATGTTTTCAACTCACTGGGTAACTTAACTACTGCATTGTTTCCAGACAAACGCATCTCATCTATTGATATTGCTGCCTCGACTACCAGCATTATTTTGCTCTGCATTTGTAGTATAACCTCTTTATGTGTCAGTCTATAGTATTAGAAAGGATTTAGTCTCGTGTCAAATAAATAATTAATATTACACTTTAGTTATCACAACTTCCAATGGGGAGATTGCATTCAGGTGATTGAAAGTATAAACTAGCGTTCCACTTTGAAGTCCGCGCGGCTATATTTGCCCAAGGGCGGTTGATGTGCTTTTGCTTGACAAAGATAAAAGTTGGATGACGTCCAAAATCACTACAAATACGGGGTTCATAGGATTTTCGTGTTAAAAAAATATCCATCAGTTCTACTTAATTTTGTTAGGCAGTTCCTCCGTATTAGCTAATTCACAGTTTTTCCTACCCACATTTGGACATCCACTCGGTTTGGGGTTTTCACAAGTAGGCAACTACCTCTTCGATCAAACTTCTTTTATGAGGCCTATCCGCGAGTGTTTGAGCAAGAGGCTATATTAGTTTTAGCCTGAAACAAAGGGTATACCACAGTTCCATAATTGGTTAACTGTCCCCCAAGAGAAAACATTACAGCGGTAATTCAGTTTGCTACACAAAGACCCCTGATGTTTCTAGCACTACCTCACTCAGTCGGTTATGCCACTACGCGCAAACTCATCAGCGATAATCTTGAAAAATAGCCATTTTTGGACATGTGACGCAGTTGCAGCACGCATCAAAGCCACAGAAGCCTGACACTTGGTTGAAGCGACAAAAAGTAAATTATACTTTCCCTGGTAGCGGTGTTTATGATTTTGTTACACAAGTAAGTTGCATCTAAACCACGTTCTTTAGAATGATCCGATTGGTAAGAGGGCTTAGAAGTTCTGGTCCAAAGTCGGCTCGGACATTGCTAAAAAGATTGAGCGGCATGTGGTGGATAATAGGGAAACTTTTAAAGTCAGACAACAACGTATAGAAATAGTGATATAATCCGACGTTTCCAGCACTGTAGGCCGTTCTTTGGAACCAGCCAAAGTAGCACATGGATTGCTCGTTTGATCCAGAGGACAGAAAACGTCAACAAACATGCAGACATATTGCTAAGGCACCAATATATCTCACTTTTTGTGTGTCACTGAATTTGGTGCCACACCCCGCGATTTATATAACCCGTTATATCACCTTCGTCCGTCACTAGAAAAATCAAAGTTTTGTGTGTCACTGCATTTGGCGCCACACCCCTTGATTTGTGTAACCAGTTATGTCACCTTCGTCCGTCACTAGAAAAATCAAAGGATATTAATTAGGCTTCTCCAGTTGCAGAGTGCTCAGACGCATGTGATAAGTTCCTCCTATCGAGAAGACCATTTTGTGTTCCCTGTTGGCGTTTCCCTGTGGATGAAGTACTGCATCGACCACTGATAAAAAAATTATTTTAAGATGAAGAGACCTCAAATGACTGCCTGAAAATCAAAGTGAGGTTGAATCAGCTGACAGCTGTAGCATATGTATACATGAATTTTGACAATTTTACACCAAAATTTCACTGATCATTCCGAGTTCTCAACGATACGTTATTCATGGATAACCTCTCCTCTTCGAACGTCCGTGCGAGTAATTATGATAAATTCGAGTGTGTGACTACAGTTCAGGCTGTTGGAAGCCATTTGTTAGAAATAGTTCAAGTTATCGAGTTTGGAAATTACCAGGCCATTGAGAGTACAAACCAACTTCGTACATCGCATACACAACGCTCACCATTTTATTGGTCTGGATTTGGGTGGTAACAGCCCCTGCGTTTCTGTGTTTGAACTTCAACTTCGCCCGTTGTAACAGTGAGACAACATTTTTAACCGGAAGTACAAAATGGTTAAGTAATGATTTAACTGCCTTAAAGCTATTGAAAACTACTTTAATTTTGTCTCAGGCACAGTTAGAAAATTGCATTTGTCGGTGTCATATTACCGACAAAGGGTTCTTTTTTGAACAGAACCACAACGGCAATGGAAATCAGACAGCCATGAAGCAATAAGGCCTTATTAGCAGGTGAATGGGGGAGGAGCTTTACTATAATAATCCCTGGCTTCTTAGGGGAGACTCCAAAAGTCAAAGTACCTGCACCTTCCAAAACCATCGAAATGTACAGCTCGGTCCATCAGGTTGGAACAAAACCTGCAAGTTACAGTTGCGCGTCACAAAATGTGTCCACCACCTGCGATATGCAACTCTAGGTGTCAGTTCTGATGGGACAGGATATCCTTATATTTTCTCGCCAGTCTGTTTTAATAATTAAACGTTTTACTTGTTGTCAGTGACACAGAAAATAGCCGAAGTAATTGTTCCGTGTGCTTTATTTTGCCATACACTTGGATGATCTTATTCACATCATTTGCAGCGGTACCACAGGCCTTTTATTCCCTCTTTATGGCTGAGAAACTTTCTGCTCGTCAAGCATTTCAAGAATGCCTAGCAGCTGATGCTTTTTACAGGTGCCCAGACATTTTCTGTTTGCTGCTTCTGCCTTATACTGAAAACGTTATAGAGGCAGGGGCGGGTAATATATATGAGGAAGTAGAACAAGTTGGAGAACGTTGCATGGTCAAAGGCACATGAGCTGACGAGCATCATGGCAATGCGCGCCACGTAACGGTAGCGCAACCACTAACCCACTGCTACGCGACAGTGCACGCTCTGAAAACGCATTGATGGTGTTACCTCGATTGGTGGTGAAACGTCTGCAATCAGATTGCCCAGTTCAGTGGGCAAATCGAAAACCATCCCCGCCACCTGAGCTACCAACATTTTCCTCTAGATAAAACGTACCGTCGGTCTGCTGGTTCTACTTGGATGATTCGGAGAATAGCATTACCATGAGGAATTAAACTGTTCTCACACACACAGCCTCCAATCGTCTACTCATTCTCTAAAAAAACAGGACCAAGAAAGCAGTCCACTATAGAAGGTGTGTAAACCCCCACTTTGATAACGCTTCTAAGGCCGTGGTTTTCTTACAGCGATTACTCTCTGCCAGGGTACTTTACTTCTGTTTCCAACGGAACAAAACGGAGACGAAGGATTCTGTCCTCTTGTTGAGGTTTCCGGTCTTCAGACGTCTCCTCCTGGAGAAGGTGAGTACTGTGTGTGCTAAGGTCAGTTGACGGTTTGGTGTTGGCCGGCTGGTGGACGCTGCACGAACGGGACTACGACAAACAAGTCACGCGTGATGGCGTAAGTATGATCACCGTCTACACAACCAGTTTCCATCCCTTACATTGTCAATGCCTCTGATGGGCGAGACAGAAGCAGTTGTGCTTCGGGAGCACAAGAGTGTGACGAAACCCGATTTATGTTGATGTATCACCCAAAGTACTGAAGGATCTAGAACGTCGATCTTTTCAACTGATGTTGCACTGTATTTTCAGTTAGCTACATGCTCCTTCATTCGGGAAGGCTAAGAGTGCAAGAGGGATTAACTGACTCATATTCATCGGGCTATTGTTCAGCGCAAACTCATCTTATCCCTTCATTCATGAAGTTGATGCTGTTGCATGTTATTTCCGTCTATCATCCTTCCATGGGGTACCTTCCGTAGGTGTCTTCCGAGTGAGAAGTAGAAAAGTGGGGGATGGATAAACTAGCGATGAGAAATCCTGGACCACATCATAACGTGCATCTGTGTACTCGTTCCTCTGCAGTACACTGAAAGCAGTTCTGTGCTTGGTGTTGTTAAAGTGGAGGATTTGCGACTGTTATAATCTAAGTTTTTGCCTTCAGGGATATATCAGTTCATTTCACAGCACAGGTGTTTGCGCACTACAACTTCGAGCGTAATTATGCTTGCCAAATGATTTTTCGATTTTCATTCAATCGTTTTTCGCCAAACATTTCATCAAGTCTGTTTTGGAAACATTAGAAAAATGAAGCCATTCTTGACCTGACTCGAGCTGAATTCTCAATAAAATCGCCATCCTGACATTCTTATTGCCAGATTATCCCTTTGTACCAAGATTATCTGAGTGAAAATAAAACTGGTTTCCTACAATAGGGAGAGATAGTATTTTACGGCTGGGCGATCTTTATAATTTCTCAAACAAAAGCACCCAACTTTCATTTGCCCTTCCTTGTGCTGCTACCATGCCAACGGAGGACGCTGTCCTTTGTTTATTAAAGGTGAAGACCAGTTTCCGGGCATTTGTCGGGTGCGATGACAGTGTTGTTCAAATTACTCAAGTAAGATCATCTCGGCGTGGACTTTGGGAGTGATGTGTGCACCCTGAGACTCAGGTTTTCCGCTGCCCTATTCTAATTTCTACTCGATTTCAGGCACAGCACGTTGCTCCACTGCAAAGTTAAAATTGTGAAGCAGTTTCATCAATATTTTCGGAATTTATCTTTTTTTCAGGCATCACATCTTCAATCCTGGCTGTAAGTCATGATAGAACAAGGTATCTACCGATTGTTTACCAAACCTCTCTGAAAGGTGTCCTGTTGTTTATTTACTCAACCAATGTAGTAGTGGTATCTTCCTCAAGCCTCCCAAGCTAGCATTCACGTCAAAACAAGCTTTAAAGGTGCAAAAGGTATATCAACGCATAAAACGAAGTCAAGGGCATTTCTACAGGTCCTCACGTATATACTGCAATTGAGGACCACTTTCTGGAAATTCTGATGCCTTCCGGATACGTTATCTGCAGTCGGGATTCGGCCAATACTGGGTCATGCTTGACTGTTGGGTCCAGACTTTCGACTAATCAGATTTTGGCTCGAAGCCGGACCGACAAACGTCCCGAACTTTACGCGGGATAGGCTTCTCGGCCGCGGGCGGTAAAGCGAGATCCGTGTGGAATTCCGCCCAACAACCAGTCTGATTTATCAGTATTTTGCAACGTCTCCTATTGGAAAACATTAATTCAGGCTAGTTCTCATACTGCGGCAAAAGAACAAAATGAATAGCGACTATACACTCATCTGCAAACTTATTTGGTTCTTTCGAGAGACTCACCTGGAACCCAGCTGAATCTCTCGTTTACGATGTTCTCAGGCCTGGTGCAGCACATTCAGTTG